ATTACAGTAGAGCCTCGATTATCCGACCCAATTGGGGACTGGGGTTGGTCGGATAATTGAAAAGTCGGATAACCGAAAAGTATGAAAAAATCCATTATTAGTGTAGTATATTATTATATCCCATGTAATTAGTATATCGTTATTAACCTACTTCGCGTTGAATTTTCCCCCATGTTAAGCCTATCAAATTTTTTAAAAAATAATAATCATCGCTATTGTATCGTTAAAAATTAGAAAATTAAGCCTCGTTTAAATACTGGCTCCCTTTCTTGGTCGATCCAGTGTTTCCAGCTAAAACACGCAAAAATAATATTAAAGTAGCCAAGACATAGCCAAATATTGTAGCGCCACATCACTAGTGGACATTTGAATTTGCCGACTAGAACGCGGTCGGTTAACCGAGGTGACGGTTAATCGGGGGTCGGATAATCGAGGCTCTACTGTAATTCAATTTTTGTGAGCCATTGACACTGGGGGTCCAGGCCTTTAGCCCTATTAGTCCCTATGCTGACTGGGTACCGCAAACTTTCGATACAATCTGGCCGTGTTAAATGACGTCATGCGCGCATACTTGTTTGCTGCGAAAAACCTCCACACCGAGTTCCTGCAAGCATCGCACTGACTTACAACGGCTAGCAGCTAGCTGCTAATGTAAAAGGAAACAAAAATGATAAGACATTTTACACGTTAGAATAAATTATTATTGGCATATTTGTTCTCATATAAAAAATATATTGAGAGTCAAAACTTTCTCTTAAGCATGCGACGCATGCTAAGCAAGCCCATAGGATTCACCCCTGGTAAAGTCTATGTCCAATGCGCGAATTTGTGTCGTTCCGTTCCGGGTGAACTCATAGATGTGTCACCTTTGTTAGGAAGCGAAGGTATAAGCATATCCTCCAATATTTATTTAATTAATTAATGTTGAAAAAGAAAAAAAAATTTGTTGAGGATAATTTGTAATTTAACAAGTTTAAATAAAAATTTCCCGTTATTCTTTTGAAAACAAAAAAATTCTATCTAGTCTGAGTTCTCACACTAATAATAAATGGGATGCAATAAAAAAATAGCTTTAAAAACGATTACTTTTTAGTAATAATAAGTTAAAGTATCGTTAAATAAAAAATTATATCTTCACCAATTTCCCCTTTCAGAATATAAAATTCTTTCCCATTTTTTCCAGTTGACTTGAAATGTTCCCATTTTGGGGAGAAACCTCCAATCTGGCAGCGTTGTCTTCAGCACCTCTTGTTTAATTTGCTACAAGAAGCGAAGCAGGATTAGATCCTGAACGTGTTCAAATGCTTCTTTTCGTAAATAAAAAGCCTGCAGTTGGTGAAAATGAGAACAATTATTGATCTATTGTAGTTAAGATAACAGTACTAAAAAGAAGGTACTGTACAGTACATGTACTGTAAAACTCAAACTCAAAATAAAAAGATTGAAGTTTCATATCTTAAAATTTAGTGGATTATTTTTCTTTTTACTTTTTGTTTTGCTTTTTCAATTTAGTAATATGTAGAAATAAATAAACAGTTAAATAATAAGTATTAAATAAAATTATTAACTAAAATTGAAGTTTACTAAGTTAAGTAATAAGTCATATAAGGTAATTTAGTTTACAAACTATTCGAATATTCCAGATCTGGTTAATATTCAAATTCGAGAAAAGTGATATTTGCCCATTTCTAGTAAATATCGTGATTAATGTTAATGTTGATAATTACGAATTATCGCTGTGTCGGCATGTCTGTCCGTCCCTCACCACTCACCGATTGTAAGCCTAGCCGAATTCACGATGGGTGTGGATAAAATATCCTTCTACTGCTGAAAAGAGAAAATGAAAGAAAGAAAGAAAGAAAAAAATATGAATTATCATGGTACATTCGAAATAAGAATGCGATAACAATCGATTATTAATTATCAAAGTTTTGTTTTTTTGTACAGATTTAACGTTTTGCTTTCCATCCGATAGGCAAGGAGAATTTTAAAAAACAGAGAATGTTCGTAAAAAAACTTTACATTCCTTAGCTTATTTAATAACCCAAAATAAAAAGATTCTCAATAAAACTTGTCAAATGATTATCTAAAATTGTAATTATCGAAGTACGAAATGTTTTTTTCTTTGGCTTGTTTTGCTTTTAAATTAATCAGATATTTTCCAACTATCCATGGAAAGCTGAGATATCGAGTAGAATTGCTATTATAAGTAGTAATGTACCATGCAGAAGCTTTCTTCAATACATCTTCAAATATCTTTGGATCTATATCATCTGCATATTCTGAAATTCCAAATTCATAATGAAATTCTTTTCTAAAACGTTTCTGTAATGTTTCCACAGAGAGAACAATAAGCTTCTCAACATCAGAAGCATCATTCCTCTCGGCATGTAGTTCGTGAAGTTTTCTAAAAGCACCAGAAATTATTTCAGTTTCTGTTTGAATTCCATATTTCCGCATCAAAATTTGGAGAAAATGATTGTATTTTTGTCGAGAAATACTTGCAGATTCTTCATACTTCTCCCACCCAGGATAAATTAAATCAGGGTCAATCTAAAATATCGAATTTTATCGTTAGAATTTATCATATGATTATATTAGTTCCAAGAAATATTTTAATAAGATTTTTAGATACATTTTGATGTAATAAATCTCTTATATAACTTAAACAGTTAAATACTTTTGTTTCAAGCATTTAATACATGAATAATTTAAATTAGTCACCTGTAATTTAATTATTTCCTGTTCAATAGATGTAATTTTCTGTACATATGTTTTACAATATCTGTATAAATCTCCTAGAGCACGTTCCGAACTGTAAGTGTATTTCTCTGTTCCTCTTTCCATAAAATCTGGATATCTATAAGGCTTCTCCTCACATGTTAGAGGTTCCAGATGGCCAGTCTTTACATAATCTAATGCCAGAGAGAATTTTCGAGCAATCTGTTTGCAGACTGGAAAATTTATGCCATATCGATCTGAAATTGCTAAGTGAGCATTTCCAATTGTACCAATTTCATCATTTTTAATATATTCTTTCAAAATTTCGGCTGCTCTAAATACCTATGAAATAGGAAATTTTTAATTTTGTCTAACTAATTAAATCGATTTAATTAAAAAAATTTTTTCCATGACTTACATTGAATAAGGCATGTGACTGATTATCTTCATCAAGAGAAGGAAAGTTTTCTGGTTCTCTGTTATGAGAAAAAAATAATTCTTTCTTCCAAATAACAGCATATTCATCTCCATCCAGATCAGAACCTGTTATAAGAGAAAATATTGAAAAATATTGATCGATTATTAATGATTTATTATATAATAATAATGAATATTGTATAAAAAACTAACAATTAATTACTATGAAGTCTCATTGATTCAAATTCCAAGAGACCCCAAAAACTTATCGAAGTGTCTAACAACGTAAAAAATTAAGAAGCAATACAATTTATTGACTCTTAAAATTTAAACACAGACATTGTAAAATTTCACGTTTTAAATTTCATTTAACAGGTTTATTAAAACAGGTTGAAAGTATTATAAAAATATTAGAATTCTGTGCAGTGACAGTTGGTATTAAAAATTTCATTACCGATTGAAAAACAGGTAAATACAATAACATAGTTAATACAACAAGACAGACTAGTTAATGTGTTTGAAGCCAGCTTTCTTATATTAAGACAGTACAACAGGGATCTTAATGTGAAATCTTATTCGATTTATATGATTTTAGAAAAACTGTCTGGCGACCCTGAAATAACCCTCACACAAGAAAAACGTTCGCTGTATCATATGCCGAATTCCTAATAAGGTTGCACGATATCTAAAATTTTGACATTGATAGCAAACATCGCAAACAAGACATTTATTAGTAGTAAATACAGTAGCTTCCAACAACGACAAAAAAGTCAACTATTCTTTATAAAAATCAATTTGTTTAAAAACCCAGCAACGAGTTGCTTAACATTTCCGGCAACATTTAAAACTACTGTGTGGTGCCATATGTTATGATATTTTATTATTAAAAAGTTTTTATATTTTTAATTATTATAAAATGGTAAAAAGTTAATTTTGATGATAGAGATGGGTTTTATAAAAAAAAATTGTAAATGCTAATAACGAGTAAAATCGTAATTAAGTCCGATCCCACTCGAGATATGAAACACGGCTCCCCCTTTATTTCCCTACCACTCGACTTTTAACTACCAAAATTTAATAGCATCAATCCCCCTAATACATAAACATTCCTGCAAAATTTCAGAAATTTTCGTCAAACAACACGAGAATTAAGTATCAAAGAGGATGAACAAAAAACACCCCGGAATTTTTTTTTGCATTTCGAGACGTTTCAATGTTCTCTGAGTCCAAAAATGTAAAAGTCTTGAGGGTCATTTTTTGACCGATTACCATACTTTCCTTCTATTATATCAATATATAACTTCCGGAAAAATAAAAATAAACATTATTTCAAACCGTAACAATATTCGCTTAGTCTATAAAACAGTTAATGCAGATCCTAGAATTCAGACCGCTAAAGGGGTCATTTTAGTATTATATAAATAAAGATAGGTAAAAATAAGCTACAAATATTCAATTATTTAATATTACATTAGGAGTATATATAATTGTAAAAACATGAGTTTTAGATACTTTGCATGGGGAACCAAAAGGATAGTGTGTTTAAAACTATTACAAAAAATTTATATATCTTGATGTTTCAAAAAACTTGAAGTTATCTTCAAGTTTTTTGAACATTAATAAATTAATATATTTACAAATCTATTTGATCTTACGCATCTGAAACCTATAGCTTGAAGTAAATATAAAAATGTGCATTTTGTTTTGTCTTATAACATATTCAAAACATAATTTAACAGCTAGTTAATTTAATATATGTATTATACACACGAAGATCATGCAAAGCTTGTATGATCTTCGTGTGATCAATTTCTTAAGATAAATGTTGAAATTTTTTTTTCATATAGCCTACTGTATGTTTTATAATTTATAGATTATATATAAACAGTATAAGCTATAATAAATAATCATACATAGAATAAGCTCATGGGTTTAACTATATACTCGTACTTATAGATTAAAAATCCATACGATTATAGATTTTAAATTTAATAGCATGTTTTGATATACGTAACGAATATATTTATCTTAGATATTTGTTACCACGAAGATAAAAATTATTTAATAAATATGATTATCTATTATTTTTTTAGTTTTTGACTGATGTGTACTTTCAGAAAACTTATTTGAATATTTTAAGTTATTCTTTTGCACTCTATTTTAGTATATAATTACGTTGGATATTAGATTTCTGTTACAGTAATTTATGGTAATATTAAAAATCATCATAAGCAATACGAATAATTATACCAGCCATCTCATCTGGATGAGGTCGGCCCCCTTTCTGTGGAAATACTTTACAGTGTACAATGTGATGTAAAGCAGGAACATCAATAGCTTCTAACATCCGAATATCTCCAGGTTGAATGCAAGGATTTTTTGTCACTAATACTCGACCTAAAATATTATACATTAGTTAAAATGACTAATAAATAAGTAACTTACTTTCAATTATATTTCAGTTTATAAAGATAACTCTACCAGTTTTAATTATGGTTTCTGTACTACTTTCTTGATCTAAAATATCTTTCGTATATTGTATGAATACTTGGCCATACTCAAGGGTGGCTGTCTCGTCTAGAACTCCAAACATATTCCGTCCTTCATTGGGATTTATGGCTAATCTAGCTTTCACCTTAATATCCTCTGAAATAATTAGTGATTGCATACTGTATAATAGGGTTTCTCATTTCCCGGTCTTTTGCTTGTCCGGGATTCCGGGATAAAAGTGAACTGTTTCCCGGGATCCCCGGAAATCCCGGGATAGAATTAATTATTTTTAAGGTATACAAAATATTTTGAAATCAAATGATATAGGCCTAATTATTTTTCATTTTTTAGAGTAATTTTAAAGTTCTGTAACCTCCAAAATCATATTAATAATGCTGTAAGATAAAGAATAAAAATTACCTTTGAACTACGTAGAAATTTTCACAAATAAAAAATTTATTAAAGTTTGCTGGAAACTGCATACAACAACCACAACAAAAAATGCTTTGAATTGAGTAAAAAAATGAAAAAAAATGAACTTAGATCAAACTTCTAACTTAGAAGGTAATTTTCGTTTTTTAAATAAAATATAATACAAAATATTGTAAACTTTTATAAGATTTTAAAAAGCAAAGATGGTCAATACTCAGATTCTTATTTTAGTAATGAAAAGTCTCGCTACCGAGAATGCCCATTCCGATTCAATTGATGTGATTGGAATCGTGTTTAATGCATTTAAGAGAAGACAAATATTATGTATTTTTTCACCTGTAGCTTGGATGATTTCGAGTTCGTTTTCGAGNTTCGAGCACTGTGTGTTCGATCGATTTCAAATTGTGAAGACCATTTCCCCCTTCAAAAAATATCTCTATATATGCATTTGTGAACTGTTATTTACGATATTTGTAATAATTTTTGTTTAATCACTTTATTTCAACTTTTTTTTTTGCTTATTACCGTATTTTGACGAGTATAAGTCGCACTTTTTTTTACTGCTTTTCGGGGCTCAAAATCATGGTGCGTCTTATACTCGACAGGTAACCATTTTTACAGTGAAATTACCTACAATAGTGGTCCACTCTAGGGACCAATCTGTGCAGTGGTCCGTTAAGCGAATGGTCCCTCAACCGAATGGCTAGAGTACCTAGATTATCAGAGTAGTGACACACGAGTCATCGCCGCCATGTTCTGTCGACTGTCATCACGTGACCTCTGAGTTTACATTAAGAAATGACGATTATTTCAGTTTAATAAAGGTATCGATTCACCCATCCGCCATATTCTCGAATAAAAAAACGAATAAAATGCATCTTTGGACAATCCCATTAAAACAGTTTTTTTCTAAATTTTTTTGTCTCAAAAATAGGGGTGCGTCTTATACTTGACAGCAACTTATATTCGTCAAAATACGGTATGTATTCGCTCGAACTTCGTTAAAACCTTAATTGTACTCGAACAACAACCGAAGTTGTAGGAAGAAATTCGCGTATTTTACCGATCTAGGTATCCCCTTTTCCAAATTTTAATATCGACTCAAAATAATTTAAAAAGACAAATTACAATAAAACGGTTTATTATCCAACTATCAGAAATTTCACAACATGCCAAGAAAGAGAGGAAGGAGCAATTAAATAATTGAAATTGTAAAGGATTAAAATATATAATAAAAATGGGGAATATCGCACTTCTGACAATCACTGCAAGTGTGTGGGTTAGATTTGGAGAATCTAGCCCACACACCTGAATCCGCATAGACAATTGTATGTGGCCAGCTCACGCGTCGGAAAACCTTCTGATTTATTCGTGTACGCACCAGACAGAAAAACAAAAAATATCGTGTATCCACAAGCACTCCAATAAATAAATAGAACTGAAACGACACTTTGAAATGTTTTCCCACTAAACCCAACACAATAATAATAATAATAATAAGTTTCAATAAAAATTATAAAATGTAAATTTAATTTTATCATAACGAGTTTGCTTGAATTTCGTTTCTTATGAGATTGCAGCAATGCGCGACGGGTAAGCTACTTATATATAAAATGTATAAGCTATAATAATCATACATAGAATAAGCTCATAAATTTAACTATATACTTATAGATTAAAAATCAGTATGAATTTCAAATAAAAATACAGATTTTTTACTATGATTCTCTAATTGCTCTTATTACAGATTTTGAATTTTAATAGCATGTTTTGATATACGTAATGAATATATTTATCTTAGATATTTGTTACCACGAAAATAAAAATTATTTAATAAATATGATTATCTATTATTTTTTTCGTTTTTGATATGTACTTTCAGAAAAGTTATTTGAATACTGTATTTTAAGCTATTCAAAAGAATATTTTAATATATTAATCCAACGTAATAATAATAATAATTACATTGGATATTAGATTTTTGTTACGCTAATTTATTGTAATATTAAAAATCATCATAAGCAATATGAATAATAATACCAGCCATCTCATCTGGATGAGGTCGGTTCCCTTTCTGTGGAAATACTATACAGTCTACAATGTGATGTAAAGCAGGAACATCAATAGCTTCTAACATTCGAATATCTCCAGGTTGAATGCAAGGATTTTTTGTCACTAATACTCGACCTAAAATATTATACATTAATTAAAATAACATGTAACTTACTTTCAATTATATTTCAGTTTGTAAAGATAACTTTACCAGTTTTAATTACGGTTTCTGTACTACTATCTTGATCTAAAATATCTTTTGTATATTGTATGAATACTTGGCCATATTCAAGAGTGGCTGTCTCGTCTAGAACTCCAAACATATTCCGTCCTTCATTGGGATTTATGGCTAATCTAGCTTTCACCATAACATCATCTGAAATAATTAGTGATTGCATACTGTATAATAAATAGTATGCTAAAGAATATACATAAAATAAAGTGAAATACTCACAAATCGCTCTTTCTCGAAAACATAGTAATAGTCCACGAAAGAATGGATCTCCTGTCAAACTAATCCCTACATTTACCATTTCTTTAAACCCTGTCATAGTTTTTAGAGTCAATTTAAAAGTAAGATATTGTGCAGCTTTTTCATCATCAGTTAAAATATCTGTTATAGTTGAAAGCATTTCTTCTTGTAATTTCATAAATACTTTATTTGGAACGCCTATTTGATTCAGGATGTTAATCATTGGACGATTTAATTGAACAGGTACTAAATAAAATAAAATAAAATATAAATTTATTTAATTTTGTAAAGCAGTTTGTTCGCTACTGTAATTAAATATTTTATATTAAAAAAAAAACTGTATAAGAAATTATTTGGGAATTGCAGTTATAATTTTTAAACTTTTCTAGAAATTAGCACAATAAAAATTCACTAATCTGACACTAGATAACCCGAAATTGTCCAATCCTGCTTGCCAGTATTTTGTGAATCGAAATTTGTTTAGGGCACTTAGTGCGCTAAGATCCAAGAGGAAATCGAGATGGGGTGATCCGCGTAAGTTGCTATATATCGAGAGGTCGAGACCGATGTAATCAACAAATATTAAGAGAAAAAACAAACTTCTTTAAAACCATCTTATGGAGCAGAAACATTGGCTATCTGATCCCGACAGATGAAGCAGTCGTCGCAAGGATAACTAAGAAGGCCTCAAATGCCTGAAGAATGTAATTTGGTAAACTACACATAGTCTACATTGTATATATCCGGAATATATATTCATAAGCATTAATGTGGCCCATGTCTCAAGAAGTAATTTGTATTAAGTTTCACGCTGTTCTGATCAGCGTGAAACTTAATACAAATGCAACAACTGAAAAGCAAAAATTTTATCTAAATTAAGTCAAATAAAAAGACAAAAAAGTTCTGTGCATTGTCATAAATTTTTTTTTGCACAGAAAATTGTTTATATGGACCATTTATACACACTGCACAATGAATAATATGAACTCAGTACAATAACCGGTCAAATGATAAAATTTGAAAAATTTGCTTTTTACAGTTTTTATATTTTTTGACCATGAAGTGACCACAAATCACTTAGTGCAATTACAGTCATAATACAAAGACGACTGGATGGCCGAGCGGTCAAGGTGATAGACTACTGCTCTGGGCTACCCGGGGGCTCAAATCCAGACTGGGTCAAATAATACCCAGAAATTTTTTCGGGAGGTTTGCTTATGAATATATATTCTGAGTGATATAGACTATGTAGAGGAGAAGGTGGTATTATGGAACACTGCGGGTATTATGGAACCACCCCATTTCGAACTGATAATAAAGGCGAACTGTAGCCGAATGTGGCTGAACTGAACTAGGCAGACATCCATAGCAAGGGGAAAACCGGTTTTACTTCATTTAAACGGTTGTCCGTATTTAATTGGCAAATTTGTTTTTGCAAAATTCGCAAGTTTTGAATGCTAAGCGAATTTAATTATTTTTAAAATATAAATCGTGTAGTTGTAGGTTCACTGGTGCATGTATTCTGTTCATGAGACATAAGGGTACATATTAATCTGTGTGATGTTCACATTTCTTAAATTTTGGTCTCGACAGACATAAGTTAATTCAAGATGGCGATGCGTGAAATATGGACCCCATTGATGTTTTAACAGTAATATGGAACGCAACTCCTCCAAACTCTCTCTTTGCGAGCAGACATTCGTCCGGAGCAATTTGTGAAAAAGACACTAGGTAGAAAGTCAAAAGAATATAGAAAAGGAGCTGCTGGAATATATATTGTTGATGGAGGTCATATTTTTCTATTATAAAAGCATTTTTGCGATAAAATACATTGGAGTAAATAATTTGGTAATTATTTAACATTTTTTGTCCTTTTCTATTTGTTTTTGGCTACATTAAAGCATTTTTTTGAAAATATACAGTAAGGTTCCATATTACCACCCGATTTTCTCTAAGCCTACTTTCGAACTTTTTGTACAAAAACCTTCAAAAACCATACTTATAATTACACTAGCGAAAAATCCAATTAGGAACATTTATTTTACTAGTTACCAGTACTTTTCGCACAAAAAATGTGGGTGTAGTTATGATACCTTGTTTACAATTCACTAAAATGTAATTGGGGTTCCATAATACCATAAATACCATAATTCCATAAATGTGGGTGTAGTTATGATACCTTGTTTACAATTCACTAAAATGTAATTGGGGTTCCATAATACCACCTTCTCCTCTATAGTTTACCAAATTACATTCTTCAGGCATTTGAGACCTTGGTTATCCTTGCGACGACTGCTTCATCTGTCGGGATCAGATCGCCAATGTTTCTGCTCCATAAGATGATCTTGGAGAAGTTTGTTTTTTCTCTTAATATTTATATTATCACATCGGTCTCGACCTCTCGATATATAGCAACTTGCGCGGATCATCCCATCTCGATTTCCTCGTCCAGATATGTCGGACCCTGTCCCTCACCACCCGGCCGCCCCGTTGTTGGTCTGGCTCAAACCCATAACGGGCTTGCAAAAAAAGGCCTTCTTAATGCCCACAAGGCAGAAAAAGTAAAGAAAAAAAAAGTCATAATACAGAGGAAATTTGCTACTGTTGCTAGAGAAAGATGATTGTTGTATTTTTCTTTAAAGTCGTATATAAGCAGAACAATGTTTATTGCTAGGACATGCAAGACAACATCATATAATTTTCAGTTTTATAAAAATCAGAAATTGTAAATGTGAAATAAAAGTCAAAGTGAATAAAACATTGTTTAGGTTCAAAGGCTGGTTTAAAATGCTTTATATAATTTAAATTTTATTATTCCTATGCAACAGTGTAAAGTTCTAAATAACAGGATGATCTAATTAAAGTTCACATTTCAAAAAGATATAAAGAGGAAACAAATCAGCAGAATGACTGTATTTCACAAGGAGATTTCTGTGGTAATGAAATTTTATTTGAAAAAAGGCTAGTTACAAAAAAGTCCGCTAGGACGGTAAATGGCACTGCAACACCATAATGAATAACTCAAAATGTCTGAAAACATATGATACACATGGCATGCTGTGTTGTTATGCAACAGTATGCTTGATATGCTGACCGCCAAAACTCTGAGTGCATGTGAGATTTGGCAATTTCAGCTGTTGCTGATAATGGAAGCTGTCGCGTGATCACACAGTGTCTCAGAACCGTGTGTATCACAAGTTTTGACACATTTTGAGTTATTCATTAGGTGTCCCAGCGCCACTTACCGCCCTAGAGGACATTTTTTCGACTAATTTTGTTTTGAAATAAAAATCACCATAGAAGTCTTCGTATGAAATATAGTCATTTTACTGATTAATTCCCGGATTATATTTATGAAATGTAAACTTTAATTATGAACACTGGATTTATTTTCAGAATAAATAAAAACTAAAATTTTAAAAACATTTGATATTTTTGAGATTTCAGATTTTTCTAGAAACTTCTTTGCTGACCCTTTCGAATGCAGTATCATTTTTCTGTGAGAAGACTGATTCTACTTAAACATTTCTACTCAATGGATGGATTAGTAAGGCATTATCGTATAGATATGCAGTTAACATTGTTTGTTCAAATTTATTTTAATCACTTACCAGCTTGGCTTTTCTTTATTATTTCAAGTTGATTAGATGGACTGTCAAATTTTTTCATACTTTTTCTAAACACAATCTTCAAACCTACGTCTCCCAACGCTGGATCCGTAACTAGCATTCCTTTATAACCTGCATATCTGATTTGAAAAGCAGACGGAACTTTTTTCAATTCCAACTTCTCACTAACCTACAAAAATACGATAAATGAGATTTTAAATGTAATACTGTATAACATTTGAATATGCAGTAATATAGTATATATAGTCTTTCAAAAGCAACTGGTATTTTGAAACATCATCTATACTTTATTATATATATTAAAGAAATAATTGTCAAAACGCTTCTTGACAAATGTAACAATTATTCGGTTATTACTTTGTCAAGAAGCAATTGACAATCATATTTCCACAATAATACATACAGTCAAGTCCGTGTAAGAGAGCACTCTCAAGATTTTTGAATTGAAATACAAGACTTCCAATGCAAACCAGAAGCCATGTTATTTCAATTCAAAAATTTCCCCCTGAAAGGTGTTAGATATATGACTGGAACGACTCTATTGTTAAAGGAAAAGTATAATGTACAGAGGCAAGTTGCTATTAATTTGAAGTGGAGAGCATATATTTTAAATTTAATTAATTAAAAATATGATTAAAGATTGCAGCCCGGCATTGTGACGATGTCANTTAAAGGAAAAGTATAATGTACAGAGGCAAGTTGCTATTAATTTGAAGTGGAGAGCATATATTTTAAATTTAATTAATTAAAAATATGATTAAAGATTGCAGCCCGGCATTGTGACGATGTCATAATAAATAATTATTATTACACTTTTGTAATGAATAACGAGAAAAGTTAGAGCTGAAGTGTTTTAACTAATATCTCAAACTGACGACTTGTAGTTCGCTGGCTGTGTTGTTCCTTGATGACATTTTAACACAAACAAATTTGGCTAGCGCTGGTACACCATACCAAAAACACGTGTTTCGCTTGGAAAACAGCAGGTTTCAGTCACATTACAAAAAGACAATGTTAACAAAATTGTGGTTGGTTAAAGCGTAACAGCTATCGATAGCATGGAACTCAGACGCATCTCAACCGATTAATTAACCGTAGCGAAACTTATTTAACATGGAGCAGAAAATAGTGATTTGTCTAAGGTTCGTTAACTGCCTTTGGCTAAGGAGACTTGTCGAGTGTCCCATGTTGAGTTATTGGAAGAGCTCAGAATAGGTCCCTGGACTCAAACAATTGGTCCTCAGTACCAGGTTGTTCCCCTCAAGAGAAACAAGTTTATGTTTTTACTGTCTTGACTGTAAAAACCGTCATTAAAATGTTTATTGATAACATTGTTAACAAAATCTTTTTAAAACTATTTAGATAAACCATAAAAAGACATGTTAATTAACATGGTCGAGTGGATAAAACCACTGAAAATCACACAATCCTTGAAAAATTTATAATACAAGAACAGCCGACAGCTTTATTTTACTTTTTGAATATCAAAGTGAAGTTCAGAATCAAGTTCATATCAAAGTGAAGTTCAGAATACAACAGATATTTTTATAGAGATATAGAAATCGAGATGATAATTTTTATTTTTGCAAATGATCCAAAAATTTATATGAAGACGTAATGGCATTTTTGAATTATAGTCATATTAAATAAACTTAAAACTGTTCATAATAGATACAGATTTAGATATATTATTTGTAATTATAATTATATACTCACGTTTTCTGCTAATTGTCTAGACATTTTTCCAACGCCATCTGAAAAGCAATAAGGTTTCTCCGTAATAGGATTGTTTCCGCCTTCAATATCATCCTCTGTGATGACATAACGGTCTTCTAAGGGAATCTCGACTGTGTCTTCTGTGTGAGAAAAGCATTGTCCCAAACGAGCCATGTACTTGGAAACGCTATTGGTTATCGAGAAATCCCCCATCCATGTTCGAATAGTATCTGTATTATTTCCTTTATCGTCTTCTGCATACATCCATATGCCATGATCTCTAATTTGAGAATTTGACCATGCCAAAAATTTGTAATGTCTTGTGCCTATTCTTATTCCCTCAATCACTGGAATCGTAACTGCAAAATCCAACAATGCATCTTCGCTATATTTTGCTGGTCCACTCAACTTTTTATTATCGTCATCTCGAAAAGATACTCGGAGTGCATAATCTGCATTAAAATTTCTCAGAATTCTGTTACTGAACTGAAATTTAGGAGGATAAAACAAAGTTTTTGTTGGAGTCAAAACTACTCGTCGAATTGGTTTGGTATTAGGAGGAATTATATATTCATTATCATTTACATAAACTTGATCTCTCTTACAATACCAATGATACATTAATCTGATAGCATTTGGATAATGGCAAAGTATACCATGCTCTTGCAAATCTAATACATACTCCAGAGCTTTTGCCAAACAAATTGAATTCTCTTCGCATTGTTGTTCCAGTTGATCGATGAAAGTTTTCCAACTTCCCCTGGTTTGTTCTAATAAGAGAAAACTTCTAGTAAGTATAGCAAATAAATTATACGTGCAATCAAAATTACTCAGTTCAAAACTGGGCACACGCAAAAGTTTTCTGATAATTAGTTTTATGGAACCATAGTGGATAGGCATCGCATTATTACATGAATGAAATCTACTAACTATTTCTTTCGCAAATTCTACATCTTGAACACGTAACACCAAAACTGTTGCTTTACCATGAACTTCTCTGTCCGCAGAATAAAAAGTTAAAACTCTTCTTCCTCTAGAATGAGCAACAGGAGGATATTTTATATCTAAGAAAAGTGAAGCAGAGTTTCTTTTTACATTTAAAATAATTCTCCGTATAGAACTATATTTTATTGTCATTAAAGTATTGTTCTTATCGAAAATGTTTACACGGTATTTCATCTCCAATATCCGCATGTCATGATAGAAATTTGCTGAGAGCAGTCCTTTTACATATCTGTGAAATCTGTGAATTACACACTGTGTTTGAGAGATGAGAGTTCCATAATAAAAATTACTTAAATCGACATTTTCATGATAAGCTACCCTAGTTTGATGAAAATATGCAGGTGTCATGAACGTTAACCAACAATTTGTATTTATTCTACACCAATATGTCGTCAGCATATCAATTTCAGCAAACAGATCAGTAAATAAACGCTCACTAACACATTCTACCTGGATAATACGCTCGTCAAATGTAGGTTTATCATCTTGCGTATCTGTCTTTTCCATTTCAACCCACTCCAGCACAGAAAACCCGCATTCCTGAAGATGATTCTCTAATGTCAGTCTAGAGATGACAGTAGTCGAATAATCTGATAATCTCGTAATTAGAAATTTCAGTCCCATATCTGGTTATCTGAAATATTAATAATAACAATATACAAAATGTGTCTAAAGCATTGAAATGAATAGGCTACTTTAAGAAATGTCATATTCACATTATTAAAGCTATGATAATTTAAACGAAACGATAAATATTTGAGATAGTTAATTCACAACTTATTATTAGATATAATTATTGAGTGTTGAACACAAGATTTTGTTATTAATTAAACACTTGGCTATAACATTGATGCAGTCAACTTATCCTTCTAATTGGGAGAATGAGAACTTGTGATGTATAAGTGTCATTGCATACATTGCGTGTTTAATGGTATGTTTTTAAAAAATATACATGTTTTTGGATTAAAAATAATTTACTTTTTGTAAAATGTGATAATCCGATATTGTATATGTTCTTTCTTGTTTAGTTTTCTGATGAGGGGCTAAGTGCCCGAAACGTGTAGAAGTACCCGTATCAACTGAATAAAGATGGAAAAAAGCCAAGTGTTTAATTGATAACACAATCTTGTGTTCAACACTCAATAAATAGTAAAACAAGGTTTCAGAAAACAGATATAATTATTGTTACATCACATTATTTAATTACTAAGTAAACAATAATACAATCTACGAGGGCTATTTTTTAAATAACGTCCGTTTTTTAATAAAAAGAAAAATACTGTAAATATCATTAAAATATATTTTTCCCATATTCTACATACTTTTATCTACTTTTCTACATAATTTCCATTTTTGTTCAAACATTTGTCATACCGCTCAAAAAAATTTTTAAATTCCGACTTCAAAGAAATCTGCCGCCACGCCGCTTGTCTTGTATGGCACGGCGGAGTTTTCTCAAGGTCACAATAAGCATCAGAATTGATTGTTGGGCCTCTTGTCATAAAATCCACTAACAAAGTCCCTTTCCTGTCCTAAAAACAGGTTACCATGATCTTTCATGCTGAAATGGAATAACAGATCGTATCTTACAGTCGGCGGGCGACTCAATTTTCTTAAACATTATAAGCTTCTACAGTTCAGCACACAGACAGACGATACGGCTGCAAATGGCATCTAAACACGCTCAAAACATGCTGAAAGCAGATGCTCATGCACACTGCTGCAATCGCGCGTCATTCTCACTCTCATTCACAAACGGACCTTATTTAAAAAATAACCCTCGTGATAATTTATTAATTAACTATTGTAATTATATTCATTTATTACATAAGTTTGTTATGGATTTACTACTACTTTTCCCTCTGTATCTCATAATATTAATTAACAATGAAATTTTTCCTTTATCTTAGTTTTAAATTTTTAAAATAAATCTTTCGTTTACATAATTGTTTATAATGAATATTTTAGAGAATAGGAAAAATTCAGCAACGAGTTGCTTAACTTTCCGGACAACGTTCAAAACTGCGTGTGGCGAGATATGTTACGATATTTTATTTTAAAATACTTTCTATTTTTTAATTATTATAAAAGAGCAGAAAGCTTAATTTTGAATAGGTTTTTAACTGCTTTTGTAAAATTCTATGGATATAAAGATCTCGAGGATTTCCGCTACGTTTCCAGTTCGACCACTGTTTTTTATGACATTTCTTAGCTTCTTTAGATGGTATGGAAACCGCCTATAAGAGCCAATGTCAATTTTAAGGTACTGGAAAATTTTGTTAATAGTAGTATGAAATTTATCATATATTTTATCAGTCATACAGTGGCGTAGCGAACATAACTGGCGCCCGGGGCACGACACTTTATTGATGCCCCCTCCCCCCAGAAACAAATATTGTTGTCTTAGAGACCATTTGGCGCCCCTCTGCGAGTGGCGCCCAGGGCATGATAAACCTCCTTGCCCCCCCGCTACGCTAGTGCAGTCATAAATTGTTAAGGAATAGGAGAACCGAGAAAGGACCAGTCGATAAAACAATATAATTTGCAGTCTGCTTTTCATTAAAATGTCCATAATAATATCTTTACATTTTGTCTTGGTAGACCAATGGCTTTCTGTCTTTCTCACAAACTTCTAGATATAGCACTGTGATCAGAGTAAAAATCTTGTGCCAAATATATATTAAGTTTGCATTTCAAAGTAAAAGTAAGATCTAAAAATGAATTAAAACGAGTAGAGTAATATACGTTTTGAATTAAAAGGTGATGCAATAATTTTTTTCCACTACTATAAAATTATGATACTACAAAAACAATAGTAATATAAGTCAAGTTTATAAGGATATAGAAAGAATGATTTACCAATTTTTATATATTTTTCATACAATAGCTTTTTATTTTCAGGGTTGTCAATAGAGAAGAATTTCATAAAAGGATTATCATAAAAGTATTTTAAAGTTTCTTTTATTATCAACATTATGTGAATATGCTTATTGCATATTTATTATTGAATACTGAAGAAAGACTTATATCGGGTTCTCGTGTGATTTTGGAATTTCAAATTGGAATTCAATTCAAAAGCTTTGCTTTTCCTATTGCCATTCATCTTTACTCCTGACAATACACAAGAATAGAGTACCTAGATTATCAGAGTAGCGAAAATAGATTGTCAAATTTTCTACTGGTTAGTTGTATGAGCCGCCGGGGAGGTTGGAGGTTCCTCTCCTTACCGGCAACAGGTCGTTGACGTCTTGTAACCACCGTCCTTGACATCTTTTGTCAAGGACGGTGGTTACGTTCTGTTACGCGTTACGCGGGTGGAGGAGAGCCAGGGAGAGTCGACGATAAGACGTTGGCAACAGACACCATTTGTAACACCAACACCGAGCAAAGACACCATTTGTAACAAACAAGATTTATTAAAGTCAACTAAAGTAAAAAGTTTACTTTAGTTGACTATAAGGATCCTTTCTAACACTCTATCTTTCTAATGCGCGGAGGGCCGAGAGAGAGAGCTTACAATAATGAACTTTCATACCTCTTGGGAAATCTCAGAGGGATAATATCCTTACAACAATCGTCCCAAAAATGGTCCCGGGTTGTGGCACAAGGTTCTATGGTTGGGCTTGGTTGGAGCGAAGAAGAACAATATCCGACTTCGACGCTATGTCTTCTCTGACGAACGACCAACGACTCTCCCGAGGGGGAGGAGAGGCTTTAATAACTTCGCGTGGGAAGACTTATCACGAGACCGATTGTTGAAGGTTAAAGTTGTTGTCGGGCGAAAACAAAATGTCGAATTCGGCCGGTAACTGTAAACTTTACATTGTTACAGCGTGAGAATGTGTGGTTTTGGACAGGAAGGGTTATAAAATTCCCACAAACTTTATAGTTCGTTTCTTTAAGCACAGGATTAATTAATTTAAGAAATTAGTTAAAAATTCAAATTTCACAATTGTATCACGTGGTTAAAATCTGTCAAAAGGTGCTCTGTGGCTCTTTAAAAAATATTACAAGTGGCTCTGTATATTTTGAATGGTAAGTGTTCTTTAAAGTGGTTTATAAAAAAATCTAGAAGTTTTTGAACATATTTGACAACAGATAGGCATGAATTTGCTACATTTTTATGTTTACTTTCATATTTAACTTTAATCTAAGACAACAAATGAAAAAAAATCGATAGTTAGCGTAACTGTTTTCATTAGATCTGATATCCGCTTAAGCGATGTTATTAAAACGAAAATATATATATAAACTGTTTGTATTGTACAAAAAGAAGTAGGCCTACAAAAATTAGTGTAAGGTAGCAAAATATAACCAAAATTTAATTTTCTACTAATTTTTCTGAAATTATTGCTCCTTAGAAAACCGTTCATCTACGAAGAATATGTACGTTCAAAGTACTTTTTGTGTTTAACTAAGCATAAATTTTAGATTTTCGCTGGATGATGAAATTTTCTTTAAAAAAAAGAAAAAAGACGTAGTCGTTTCCAAAAACTTGGGTGATCATCATATTTCTTTTAAATGTTTCTTAGTAAAAACTTAAGACGACCCGACCTTTCTTTCTAGGCCGTGCTGGAAAAAGTTCTTTAAAACATAGAAATAAACCAATTAAAAAGTAATAATTTTTTAAAAATTGGATTTGATGACCTTACGACGTCTTGCTTTTTTCATCCTTCTCCTTTCGGGAGTTTCGGATCTTTATATAGAACTTTATATAAAGATCCGGCCACGTAGCTAAAAAGAAAGGTCGGGTTGTCTGAAGTTTTTACTAATAAACATTTAAAAGAAATATGATGATCACCCAAGTTTTTGGAAACGACTACGTCTTTTTTATTTATTTTTTAAGCATAAATTGTTATATTTTTTATGTTTATTTTGCTAGAATAACTTAAAAATTAGTGTTCCAGCAAAGAAAGCTTATATGATTGGAATACTGTAATTATTATGCTGTACTGTAAGTTTTGTTCTAACATAATAAATGATATAGATGAAAGAGGAATAGTTACAAACCTTAAAGATATAAAAATATTGCTATAGAAAAGTATTATTTATAATAAAACTAAACATTTACATGAACTGTAGTACCTAAAAAATTAGTTTGTTATCCTGCTCAAAACAAATTTAATTCTATTACTTGTAAGGCTTCTTTAATACATCCTGTACAATAACAAACACACTAGTACTTTGGACCTTATTGAAAGGCAGCATTTGCAGCATTTATTTGGTAATATGTGATTATTTAAAATATCATTTATAAAGCTAATACAATTCAGAAGACATATAAAAATTCATTATACAAATGATTCTTTTACATACTAGCTAGTACTTTTGTATTGTTATTCTGCTGAATGCATTAAATTAAAGATGTCCACTTAAAAAGTCATTTTGAATCCAGTTTTAGAATATACCCTTTAATTTTATTATGCAGACAGATATCACTGAAATAATGCCTGGATGTTCAGCTTTTGGTTGTTCTAATTCTTCTGTAAAAGGATATATTATGAAATGTTTTCCAAGAGATCCTATTGAGAGAAAAATTTGGGCTGAAAAAGTGCGCCGAGTAAATTGGAAACCTACAAATAATTCTTGTTTGTGTAAAGTTCATTTTGGACCACAAATGTGGGAAAAAGTGAGAGTTGATGGGAAGAAGAAATTAAAGCATAATGCCGTGCCAACTTTGTTTTCATTCACAAAACAAATTATTCACGGAAAATCACCAAAAGGAAGATCCTCGACTGTTATAAAACAAGTAAAAAATGCAAAAGTTACTTTTCCAGTACGTACTACTCATACTACTGTTACACAATCAACAAATTTTGAAACATCTTCAACATTTATAGAAGAAACCACATTAGTTGATAACATTTCTGTAAATCATGATACATTATCTAAAGAACGTACAAAAGATATATTTATATTACAACAGAATTTTAAAAAAATATAAACAACTATATAGAATTAATAAAAATATTTAAAAAACAATGGAGTCAGATAAATTGTCTTTACCCAATTGTACTCTTCACTAGTACACGGAAAAATAATTCTCCTATCTTTTCTGACTTCTGCGTGATACCCGCGGAATGCTGGGAAGAGATACATAATAGTTGTAAACGCGGTGGTACTTGTGTTAAAGATGTGTCTTCTACTTGTGCTAAGGATGTGTCTTCTACTGTATTACATTTTGGTTTTATTGTGTTACGTTCTGATTGTAGGAAACCCTGCTGAAGAGGCCAAAAAAAAAAAGGCGAAATGCATTTGGGGTAAAGTATAGTGTTAAATAAAAAAATTTTTTCTCTTAAAGTTAACCTGTTTGTCCTTTTTTTGTTTTTATACCAGTCTATAGACTTGGAATTTTTTTAAGCCTCCAGAAGTCAGAAAAGAAAGAATTATTTTTCCGTGTACTAATGAATAGTACAATTTGGTAAAGAACTATATAGAAGATCATGTGAAAAAAAAATGTTAAACATGTAAACACTATCAGAACATTGAAACATAGAATTGGAATTTTGGAAAAAGAAGTAGAAAAGGCTAAAGAAGATAATGAATCATATCAACTCTTATCATTAATTCTTAATAATGACCAAATATCTGCCATGAAAAGAAAAACCAAATTTATGAAATGGTCAAAAAAAGCTATTCAAAAAGCTTTGAAATTATGATTTTTTTGTGGAACTAGTGGATATGAGGAGTTATTAAAACAAAACATTCCATTTACCTTCAATCAGAACTTTACAAAGACGATTACAAAATTTAAAATTTGAAAGTGGGATCCTAACAGAAGCCATTGAATTTTTAAAGATTAGAGTGAAATTATTCAAAAATGAGCAGGATAAAGATTGTCTTTCTGTTAGATGAAATGGAAATAATTCCTTCAAAAATGTTGATAGCAATATTATCACATATATTAATGATCCCACTTTACCTGGACATTCTGGGACTGCAACTCATGTATTTGTGATTATGTTAGGGAGATTACTTTACGACGGAAATAAGTTGTATCTTACTATTTCACAGGTAACTCTATAGATGGAAATTTATATGAAAAAATACTACAGTGTGTGATCGGTTAACGAACAGATCGGACAACGAACAAATCGGATAACGAACACTTTTGCGAAAGATTTTTATGTTCGGACAACGAACACATGATCGGATAACGAACACCCCACAGAACAAACACAAGAAGAAGCGACGTAAAATAATGAATACCGATTGGTCTTCCCTTGTCTTCGGGCAACAATTCGAAACTTTTCGGAGTGTGGGAGACGTCGACATCGACGCTCAAGCCGGTATATACCGATCGGATAGTATTCCTCCGAACTTTGAAACTCTCCCTTGTAATTCCAGCCTTTTATTTTTCTGACAAAACAATTCTTTTATGTATTCGCGAGACTGTCGGGTAGGCACTCGTTAAGTTTTGCGTCTGTTTTTCTTTTCGAAAGGTGAGAGTATAATAGCAAAGGTAGAGAGTGGGCAGAAGATGCCTAATGTTGCTGGGCAGTATGGCGTGAACAGGTCTACAGTAGGCCGCAGTTCAATCTTATTTAAGAAAAATACTGTATAATCAAGAAGACTCAAGCAGCTAAAGGAGTAACAAAAATCACATCTGAGAAATAAAGAACATCGAAGAGTTCATAATGGAACCTGAAACGGATCTGACGACAGAAGAACGCCAAGAACTCTTGAATGAAGAACACCAAGAAACTCGGCGAGATATGTTTTCTTCTGAAAAAGAGGATTAATGCCGATATCTGTTATTAAAGATCCTTTGAAGAAGTGGGAGGATGTCAGAACAACGGTCTTAGAATGGCATCCAAACCAGGTTGAGGCTTGGGGATTTCTACAATTGCAATGCTATTAATTACTTACGAAAAATCCTGAAGAAGAGAGAAAAGCAATCGACATTAAACAGATTCTTTAACCCTTTCAAACTGAAAAAACATGACTAATAAAAACGCAAGACTGTGTACGTATGTATTTTTATTATTATATATAAATAAACGTAGTAAGAAAGTATATATGTTTTATTTTGGGGAGTCTCCAGAACGAATTAATTAAATCTCCATTAAAACCTATGGTAAATCGATAATCGGTTAACGAACAATTCGGATAGCGAACAAAGCCTGGGAACGGATTATGTAACCGATCACCCACTGTATTTGAAATAATTGCTTGTGTTGGAAAATTTGGTTTAAATGTTGTTAGCATTACATCATACATGGGATCATCAAACAAAGCATTATGGAAAAAAATGGAACACCACAGCAGGTCGTCACAGCGAAATAGTAAAATCCATAAAGCATCCTTTAAATTCAGATAAAAATATTTATCTGCTTGCAGATGTACCACATTTATTTTAAAATATAAAAGGTATGCTAATTACAAATAAAATTATAAAAACATCAGAAGAAACAAAAGAAAAATTCAACCTTCCAACTGATATATCATCACAGCATATAAATGAATTGCTAAAACAACAACAAAACTTATGTGATCAGAGGATCGGCACCTCTTTAGTGCTTCGTCAGGACAGACACAGAAACCTCAACGGCCACAACTTTGGAATTTGCATGAGTGGTCACGTATGCGGACGACTGGATTCGGAATGGAGGGGAGTTGAGGGACGACGGATCGGAAGTTACTCACTCGGATACAAGGGTAACAATTAAAATAACCGATTTAATTTAACTAAAAAGAATGCAATCGAGAGAGAGCGTTTACAATAAACCGCGAGTTGGTATAAATGTATAGATATGTGAACCGCAGGGGAGGTAAGGATTGGTCGCACCTCCCTGTACGGACAACAGGTCGTTAAACCTGCTCACTGTCAGGATGGCTTACTTTACGATAATGGTCCCTGGGATTGGGACTCTCAAATGTCGGTCGAGTGGAGGGAGAGTATTTGGGGTCGACGATAAGGTGAAGGCCGTATACGAGTAAAGAAGTCTACCATTTTAACAAATAAAACAAGGATTTATTAAAATAATAAAAACTGACAAAACTACTACACAAATCTCGACATTAAACCGCTTAACAGCTTAAGAGAGAGTTTACACGCTTCTTCATACCTCTTTATAGGGTCCCGTGACGATTAAGGAATGTAGGCACAGAAGTATCCCATAAAAGGTGTCGTTGATCCAAATGAACACAAATATAAAAGTTCGCGACTCTGGCGACGAATGGATATCGATGTTAGAGGATCGGAATAGCGGCGGGTTCGGAGATTCGACTCGATGTCGTCCGTTCGGTTTCGATAAGAGACTCCCCCGAGAGGGGGTAAGAACTGTCTTTTATAGCTTTTTGTGGGAAATTTCCATCACGTGATCGGATGGTCTATGAGCTAAAGGTTATAGGTGTTCCAGGGACCTAAACAAGTGACGAATTTTGGATGCTAACTTTTGTGCAAGTCGAGCTGCAAGTTATGCGAGGTCAACAGAATGTTGATGGTTATGACAGGAAGGTTTACACATTCCCGGCTAAGATCGTTTTTTCCTTCCAATTCGTTACATAAACGAAAGTGAACTAATTAAAATTTTAGTTAATAAAATTTCGGATCTCACAGATACCTTTATGCACTTATAATTGTGGACTTCTTGATGGACGAACTTTGGTCAGTCGTTTGGTCTGGAATCCAAGAGTGGTTGGGGAGGCGTTAAATTTTCCTCTTCCTTTGGGACGGCGGTCGAACCGATGGGAAACCGGAGGATATAATAATCCCTATCACTGGGAAGTTCGAAGGTGTTCCTAAAGGGACACAGGGTATGCAATTCTTGGTAGCCTGGGCGACGGCGATTTTTCTCCTTTATTCCTGGGCATTAGGTCGCTCGTGGACTCTCTCGACGACCGCTTGTCCTTGAGTCACTCCTTTTATACCTCCAAGTCACGTTATCATTTTTCACCAATAGTGAATTTTTATTATTAGTTCCCAGTGACACATTCGATGGTTTTCCTGGGAGAGGAAACGACTCCAGGGAGAGAGATGCGATCATCCTCCGGTAATAAAATTAGAAAAACTTCCAAAAGACGAAAAATGAATTTTCTCTCCTAATTTTCGTCAAGTCTGACTCTCACACTTAAATTTCAAACTATCTCCTAATACTACGTTCGCACACAATCCACGACTCACTTCGATCTCGATTTACCTATAATCTGGATTGTGACTGTCACCAGTCGAACGTCGTACTGTTCGCACAGGCAGTCCGCTTGAGAAGAACACGGTTATTACACGCGATGATAAAAGTCACGCGGTAAGTCACGAACACCAACAAACAAAATGGAAGTTTTGGTTAGAAATAAATACAGTACATTTTCTTGCCATATTTAAAGTTAAGTGAGGAAGACTTCCTTCCTTCCTTTTCTTCTTCTCAGATGTTGATATGGAGATTTTAGCTCATATAGGCTCTTTCTCCGACTAGACATATGGTTATGATCGCTATGCGACCGAAGAGCCAGCCGTATCCGAACGGCCTATGCGCGCGCGCGGGAAATAATGCCTTCCGGGAGGACTTTTATGGGGGACTGGCCTCCTATTCAGTCGTTATTGGCAAGGAGAAAACCCGGAAAACTCCAAGCAGCCAGCCTGTCCGATCGCGGCGCGAACCCACGACCGAACTTCCCAGTGTTTAGGGTTTTATGCAGCGAGAGTGCAGCGTAAATGACGTCACGAGCAGCTATCGCTACACGTCGCTGCATCATAGTTTAGAAACGCTTTCCGCTCGAGCGAAACACGGACGTCATAATCTATCCTTTAATTCCAGTTACAGCCGAAAATAGTGCTTTAGTTAAAGAACTACAATATTTAATGAGATATAAAGAATCGAGCATTTATCTTTCCATAAATGTGAACAAAGTAAAGAGATAAAAAATATATAATTATATTTAAAATATAGTATTTTCTTATTCTTTAGATAACTTTCAGAGTCATTTCATAAAATTTAATCCTTCTTGATCTTTCCATAATATTTTTATCAACAGTCACTTCGACTTTTTTATTTTTACAGCATAATATCGTATTATACACACAAGCGTCCATTTTGCTTTACACGAGTAGCGGACGTAAAAGCTGCTTTATCTTCGCTGCAGCGACCTCTTGCAGCAAACGTTTAGAAACGGTTCGCTACATTGCAACGCTGCATTTAGAAACGGGTTTCAGAGGGTTCGCTGTAAAGCGCTTCTCGAGCGCTGCATAAAGAAACGCGGCCATTGCCATCACATTTTCAAAAAATGAAAGTGAAAACATCTACACATGTCATCAGTCATGATATAAGCAGTGGATTAAGATTTTTTTTCAGAAGTGAATAAACCAGAATATTTAACAACTGTTTGGTTTATTGATGCTGTTGAAAAGTGGTTTAAACTTGTAGGCCGCTGTGGTTGAGCACTACAATCCTTTTGTCTAGTCGAATAGTCGAGTAGTAGAGCTCTCGTCGTACACCACCAATCTCTCTCGTGACAGGTCGAAAAAGTGCGGGAATATGTCGAAGTTCTGACGTCATCCCGTCGAGGCCCTCTGGTGGCGGCTGTAGGCGTTAGCGCCTCAAACTCTTGAGTTTAAACCACTTTTCAACAGTTTGAGTTTGAACTGTTTTGAGGTTTGAGTTTAAACTGTTGAAAAGTGGTTTAAACTCAAAATATGGATGCCTCGATGTTGCATTAGCAACATCGAGGCATCCACTTTTTGCTCTAAGTATGAATATAGTACAGAAGTATGAGGAATCAATAACATTTTTTAAAAATTTTATTAAAGTGTTTAAAACTATTAAGGTAGGAGATAAATCTATTTGGAAACCTTGCCAAACTGGATTGATGGTTACAACTCAATTTTAGATTTGCAACATGAATTTTTAATTAACAAACAATATCGTTTTTTACTAACACCAAGATTCACCCAGGACTGCTTAAAAAATGTATTTAGTTTACTGCGTGCAAAACAAGTGACTCCAACTGCACTCCAGTTTAAGAACAATTTAAAATTAATTTCGGTATCTCAATATTTCAGGGCTGTGGATTCGGAGTCGTGGAGTATTGGTGTTTTAGCCGGAGGCGGAATCGGAGTCGGAGTCGTCAAAAAATCCGCCGACTCCGACTCCTTTTTACTTACCAACTTGTTATGTGTATAAAACGGAAAAGTATTGGAATCGTGTCAAATTTAACTCTCCAATTTTTTCTTTTTTTTTTTTACAAATCTACACGTTTGGAGACCTCCCGAACCCCTAAAAAAAGTCAATAAAGGGAAAAAATTCGCGCGTGCGTGTGTGTTGGCGTCTAATTTGTTTAATCTCTTTATTTTCTGTTCTGAGATATTAAACAATATCTCAGATCAGAATGGGTAAAGTTTAAGAAACGTTAAGAAACGAAATGTGGCACTATAACTTGCGTATAAAGGGGCATTAACACTATTAAATTTTGGTTCTTAATTAAAGGTTGACAGGGTGAAGACATAAAAGTGGTCATATGTCATATCTCTTAATGAATATTTTACTCGTTATTAGAGTTCAAAATTTTAAAAAAATAAAATAAAACTCGTCTCTACTCTCAAAGTAAGCTTTTTTTGCCATTTTATAATAGTACAGTAAAACCCGTTAAGATGTTCTCGCCTAAGACGTTAGAATGTATATGGGGACACGATTTAGTTCAATCACGTTGACGCTTAATAACTGACTCCTGTGTTAAACCATCCGATTCCTATTCTGACCACTCTGACCACAGAAATTATTAGGCTTCAAACAGGGTGAACAAAATCATGCCCCCATACACAGTCTAACATCCACACATATAGAAAAATACCTCGAATCTTTTGCATATCTTAAAATTTCAAGGTGTCCTGAATCCAAAAATGTAAAAATTTGGGAGGGGTCATTTTTTGACCCAGCGCTACACTTTTTCTCTGTTAAATATAACAGCCGGAAAAGTAAAAATTATCGAATACATATTTATTTTTATTTATTTATTTAGCATTCTGGTACAAAGACCCTAATGCGGGGATAAAACAAAACAAAAGTATACATAACCTTACAAAATAATATAAACATATTTCACAGATATATCCATCAATTGCCAATACATATTTATACTGTGTCATTACTTAGATGAGTCTTTTAGCTTTGGAATAAAAAGTTTGTATACTCTATCTTTATTAGAACTCTATTTATCGAATCTTTTATTCTGAGGTCACGTGATGACATCAGAATTTCCGGGTTTCTTTCGGTAACAAGTCCGCCCTGGTAGGAGTCGGGGTCGGTAGATTTTTACACGACTTTACAGCCCTGCAATAAATATTTTTAAAAATGTGTCAAAAGCGCGTTATGATGATGATGATGATGAGATGACAGAGAGTTTTTATCAGAATTTCTTGATGTAATCAAAGAACCCACAAAAGAATATGATAAAGTTGTTATACCAGAAAATTTTGAAGCTAAAAATATGCCTCTAAACAATGCAGAAATGAATTCATTTTATAATATATCTGGTTATTTAATAACAAGTATAGAACAAACCTCAAAAATCTGTAACAAATGTATTACATCAGTAGGATCCAAAGAAAGTCCTCTATTAGAATATTCAACATTAGTTGAAATTAAAAGTTTTAAAAAAATCCTACGTTTTTTTGTAATAATAAAATTCTTGCATGCTTTTAGACATGGAAGATATTTTCCACCAATATTATAATGTGCTGGAAAATCAAAACATTGATATAAGAAAATTTTATTTAAAAAAATTTAACAAATATATTAAAAAACTAGCTGTTACCCGCGACTTNTACGAGGGTTTTACCCAATTCTCGAACCGTGTCAGAGTGAATCCGTGCTATAAAAGTACCGTGTTATACGGGGGATGGTACCAATTCTCGAACCGTGTTAGAGCGAATCCGTGCTATAGAAGTGCCGTGTTATACGGGGGTTACCTGTACTTCGTAAAAAGAAAACGTCGTTTAACTAAATATGAACGCATAATACAGTACTCTTGATTATGATTGTTAGCTAATTATTGGTTGTAAACAAATTATTGATTGCTTTAACAAACACATTTCTCTTAGCAATGAAAAGAATAGTATACTTTTGCTAACTTCTGAAACGTAACCTTATGTTTGGCATTAATCTTTTGTTTCGTATAACACGGATTCGCAAAACGCGGCATTTTTTCGGAGCGTAACTACCGAATTATACTGTACAGTGTACTTTAATTTTTATTTTTTAAATAATTAAAATATATTTTTATAACCTATTTTTCAAGATATTATTTCTTATCAGACTATAAAATTGTTTTTTCCTCAAAGTTCACAGGAAAAAATTTAATAAAATATTAATGAATTAATTGTCGTAATTATGAAAATAATCATATAAATTCATACAAATGGTTATTAATTAATGCCATTTTATATTTTCAATTTCAAAATTTTTATTGGTGTTTTTAATATAAAGCATGCTATTTTTATTCGAGGAAAAAATAAAATAATAATAATAATAAACGCTAACGAAGCGCCATCTAACTTTGCTGCATTTCATTACGGTGAAATTGGTTGTTATCGTCTGGTTCCGTCTCCGATTGAAATTATCAGCCGTTCGGCCGAAAGATCAGAAAATCAAGGTTGTAATTATTTCCTTAAACGACGTCATGATGTAATACGCGTTTATCAATAAAATAATGTAAACGCTGTCGTGTGTTAGCGGTTGTGTTAAATGTCAACAGGCGCAACCAAGTATGTCCGCCAGGGGAGGGTCGCCTGATTGCAGGTGAGAGTTTGCACAAGATATTTACATCCTTGCTGTTGATGAAAAACTTATTTTCTAATGAAATTCTTTTATATGAAGCATTATACGTTTTTCCTTTAGATATATTACACTGTTGTATTGAAGAAAATCATCAAATTGCCGATTTAATTATATGTCCGTATATAAAATACAGGATTTATATAAAGGTATTGTTTCATAATATTTTTAAATTAATTTAAATAATTAAATAGTTCTGTATATCTGAGTTTATTTCAGTTTGATGATTAACTTTTGGTTTACTGAGATAAAATATTTTTCAGGTTTTGTACAGTATTTTATTTTATATTGTTTCCCAGTATCCGAATGTTAGATATAACTGTCCTCGGTTACTTGTGGTGCCGACTGGGGATGTCTGTGGCTGATGATTGCCTGCTGAGGCGTTCGGCCGGCCTTTGCCTTACCCCGGCGTACATATATCAATATAAACATCTATATATACATATATAAAAATCATTTGGATTATTACAAAAAAAATTGGACTTTTAGGTGTTTATATATGATTCTAAGGTATATTTTGCCATATTTTGGCTGTTTTAAGTATCAAGTTATTTAATTTAAAACACATTAAGTTATTTTTATGTATTTATTTATTTTCTCAAAGGCAAGACATGAAGAAAGCTAAGTTAGTTTGCACATTTTTGCATGTTATATTAATGTTTTATCCGAGTGATTCTTGCATCTATATGTTCAAGTTAAAAAAGTTATTAATTTATTGTCTTAGTATCTTCTATATTTAATTCTCACTCTAAGTTGGTGCAAAATAACCCTGACATTTAAAAGTACTTTGAAAAAAGTTTATGGTATATTGAGTAAATATGTGGAAAAAAAATGTTTCATTATATTTGTATTAAGATCTTAAAGAACAAATACATGAGCTGCGAAAATTTTACATTTAGGGCATCAATAAATAATCATAAATATGTGCTGCCTGGGTACAATTAATTAATATCCAGTTAATAAACAAAAGGTTACAATGTTTTAAGGTCTTTTAAATATATTTTTTTTCTTGTTTTTAGAGATTAATATTTGATCTTAATTGTGTGTGAATACTATTAAATAATTTTTGGGTGTGTTACATTTATTTTCCTGTAAAAATAGTATATCCTGGAAGTAAAACATTTCATAATTGCATAAAAGGAAGAGAAAGAAAGAATTTAATAAAATTATTTTACATTGATGTAAATATTTAACAAAATGCTATGAAAGAAATTTATTTATAGTAGGAATTAACTGGGCTTAAAACCAATTATACAAAATTTTATTTCCAATTAGAAAAAAAATTTTATTATATTTTATATAATGGCTTATAAATTATTGCAAAAACTATTCTTATGTTTTTAAATATCACATGTTTTGTAATGATCTTATATGTTAACAATTAATACACACATGAAATGGATAAAAAGATGATTTTTTTTAATGTTCTTATATGAAAATAGATAGGAAATAGATATTTGCACTTTCAATAGGACATTGAGGTGATGAAAAAATTATGAAGTGTGTGTATGTATGTGTGTGTATGTATATANACAAAAAATCGCATCTAAAATAGTACAGTAGAAGCCGTTCTTCCAGTTAAGCCGTAATGCTCTCTCTCTCCCCCGCTGGAGAATTTCGAAAAATCCCTTCTTAGTGTGCATTCCCATGGCATACCCTACTAAAACGCAGATAAAAACAAAATATCGCATCTAAAATAGTACAGTAGAAGTTGTTCTTCCGGTTAAGCATTAATCCTCTCCCTCTCCCCTCCGCCTGGGAATTCCGAAAAATCTCTTCTTAGTGCGCGTTTTCATGACGTATACTATGTACCAAATTTCACCTCTTTAGGTTCAGCAGTTTGCTATGGGCGATGATGAATCAGTCAGTCAGTCACGACAAGTAATTTTATATATTTAGATGACCATATTCCAGATTGCCATAAAATAAAAGGAAAAATTATGACAAGATTTATATCTTTCGTGTTAAAAATAAAAAGCAAAAGAAAAATTAAATATTTAACAAATTCATATGCGAGTAAATCCAAAGCGAGTAAGCTACAAAATTAGCCATATTCTATCCCCCATATTCGCCAACACAAGTTTGATTATTGATGTAATAAAATACATTTTTATTTGTAACAGTTCCATATTGTTCATTTAATAAATTTTTATATTTTATTCGCATAGCCTTTTGATCTTGATACGCTTTATTACTATGAACTTATGTAATTATTATGCATACATAAAAAGCTTTAAACTTGTAAAAAAAAATTTTAAATTACTTTTTATCATACAATATTGCAATATAGATACAAATATGATAATTTTTATTTGGTTGATTATTATATATTAAAGTACTGTATTTCAATATAATAGCCTTGATGTTAAAAGTTTTACGTAGTGAAATAAAATAACACATAAAAGAAACATCTTTACTCCAGCGAGTGTAAGAACAAACTACTATGACTTTATTTTATTTAAAGAAAAAAATGGATAGTTTTTACAGTATAAAGACGAGACGTTAAATAAAAATACAAAAAACTATTAATAAAACCCTCAAAAGCTTTCCAGGGAGAGAGATGAGTTACGTCAGGCCAACACCCAGCTTTACCCTTGCATGTTGCATAAGCACGCATACGTTGTACGTACTGTACATTCCAAATTAAATCCTGTCAAATTAGTAAATATAGTAGTAGTTTTGACAAGCCAAATATCCATTTCATTAACTACTAATTGATTTCTTACGTTTGCTTTAAAATAACGTTTGGAATTTCGATCTAGAAGTTTTTCTAATAAGTAATCAAAATTAATTTTTTATTTAAAAATACTAATGCTAGATTTAAAAGTTATCGAGCCAGTAAGATTGGTCTATCCTTCATATTCTTCAAAAAAAAAAACGAATAAAATGCTTTATTAAACTGAAAAAAAATCGTCATTTCTTAATGTAAACCCATAGGCCACGTGATGACAGTCGACAGAACATGGCGGCGATGACTCGTGTGTCGTACTCTGATAATCTAGGTACAGTACTCAACTCTACATAAGAACGATTGAAACGACCGAGATAAAATACTTTTGTTTTTAAACACCAGAGGGTGAGCATTCGGTAAAAAATGAGAACATGCGGTTCACAAAAATTATTGCAGAATCGCAAAGAATCCTTCGCTCGCGCGTATAGGACGACCTAGGTTTTTGAAGCAGTGAAAAAACCTAGTCTTATATGCGAATGAATACGGTATATTTTTTCTTGTGTCCCTTGTCTTTTTCTTTCCACTCTTTCCATGCATTTTTCTTCTCCTTTACTGCCTCCTTAACTCTTCCGTTCCATCATGGAATCTCTTTTCTCTTCTTGCCTCCAGTTCTTCCACATATATCAGATCTAGCCCTGAGTGAGTGTTAGTTCTAAATTATGTCGCTACCAGTGACGAGAACTGGATTTGTGTCAGTTTTGGGTCATAGTTACAAATTATGAATGCTTTATTTGTAATTTCTATTAGTTAAAAATGAAAATAAGTTAAATTTTTAGATTACTTATAAATGTTTTATCATATACTACGTTAGCTTTCTCAATTATGCCGTAGACTTTAAGGATAGCAATATTCCTGAATTATTGTTTAAGTAGTTACAAATTATGAATGCTTTATTTGTAATTTCTATTAGTTAAAAATGAAAATAAGTTAAATTCTTAGATTACTTATAAATGTTTTATCATATACTACGTTAGCTTTCTCACCTGATCCGAAGAGTATAATAGCACATTTATCATTTGTTTATCATACTGTAAATGTTGAACGCGTTATACATTAAATAAAATGGAGTATAGTGAGTGTGGCTTAAAATTATAATCATAGACAAAGTTTAAACAATATGATTTGTGATATATCAGTACAATACTTGTTTTTTCTGTTCATAATTATAAATGCTTTGTTTGAAATTATTAGTTAAAAGTAAAAATAAATTAAATTTATGAGTACACATCTTGCTTAAAAAATAGCACTCTAAGATTACAAGATGGAATTATTAACAAAATAAAATGTAGGGGGATTAAAATTAGTTATTCTTTCACTGAGAGAAGTGCTGTTATTATTAGTAATTGAGTGTTCTGTATTATGCATGAGTATATAGCCTAAAATAACATTATTGTTTGCATTAATTATAAATTTATTACTCGTGTGATATACATAACCATAATATTGTTTGGATAACATTATTTTGGAAAGGAGACTTAGGATAATTATAGAGAAAAGACAGGGTTCAAGACTAAGAAATTTCACTCACAGCCAATTTTATATAGAAGAGAAGTAATGTTTGTTAGGGAGAAACTACTCAGGATTTTTTCTTAATTAGCATGACTTTAAAATTCAAAACACAATCTCTAAAATCAGTATGTCTGGTCACTTTAGCTAATTCAGAAGTACTTTAAGCCTTGAGGAAAACCTAATATAAAAGCTAAAAACTTATATGCACATAAATTTTGATTGTTTTATGGAATATATGCAATTTCTAAACGTTTATTATTTTCTAAACAAATTACAACATACCACATAATTGCAATATAATTCTTTATATGCAGTATTTTCAACATTAAATAGTATATATTAAATACTCTTCCATCCCATTAGAACATAAGAGCAGATAGGACCAAATCTCAAGATGCAATTTTTATAATAAATAAAATAAGTGGTATGAACATCATCCCTATTTTTTCTATCCAGAACTCTCCCTGATTGAACAGTATACTAATATTAGGAACATCAGAGTTGAAAAACATACAATACTATACTACAAAGCTATAGAGCAGGGATAGCAAACCTATAGCACTCATGTCCAAAGTGGCACATAAGGAGAAATCATCTGCACATAACATATCATACAATTTTGATTTATCATCTGGCTTTTTCAATCATCTTTTTTACATTTATTCTAATTAAAGGCTATTCAAATTACAACACACTACACCAAGAAATACTTAATGATGCACATATGATGTTTTTTCACACTTGTTATTGGTCAATAACAAGTGTGAAAAAACAAAAACTAACAAGTATCTTAAGACAAATGTTCTTCTTCAGGCACTATAAAGATTACCAGGTGGAATATCATTTTGGAACATAAAAGCTTTGAAAGAAATATAAATTCAAACCAGAATTTGAAGTATGAGTATAAAA